TCAGTGTCATTGAAAAGAATCTAGGTCTGATTCTGGTATCGAACACAATAGATGGGTGGGGGGCCGGGGGAGGCAAATTTTTCGGAAGCAAATTGCCAGAATCGCGGAAGCAAGAAGAGGAGAGAGGGACATTTGATGAAGGAGGAAGTGAGGACTGTGTGAGCAAGAAAGGCCTTGGATATGGTTGAAGAGCACGACTGGGAGAGAAAAGTAGTGAAGATTGGGGAAAAAAGGGAGAAAAAAGCAGATAAAGAAGGAAAGAAAATCATGAAAGGAGGCTGCTTTAAATGAAAATATTTTATAATATCATAATGCAATATTTTCTTACCAAACAATATAGGACCATTGTGTCATTTTGTTTTTAATTGCTAAAAGGAAGCTAATACACTTCATGAGGATGGATCCCAAGAATTCATTTGTCTTTTATGGCTTCTTAGGTAGGGTCTCGGGGAGAAAAAGTTTCATATGTTAGATCTTGATCTGGTGGATTGAGTTCCTTTGAAGCATTCAAAGAGTTGTTTACTTTCCATCTGGATAAACATATTATTTCATTTGCTCTTACGAGCAGTTTTTTCAAATTTATATGATGTGCCTTGATTTTATTGGGAGGGCACAAGAATATTAATCACGATCAAGCACCAAGGAATTAGCACCCATCTACAACTATCCTTGGAGATTAAAATACTGAATGCTTTCTCATATGTTTTGTGTGACGTGTAATAGTATCTTTTTTTTTTTTCGCTACAAAAAAACATGTAAAAGACTTTCGTAGTTCCTTGGTGGGTGTTTGACTTTTGATAAAATCAACTTATTGCTCTCCTAAATTTCACTTTTTGGGTAATCTCATTAGCTGGTTGGTTATTGGCTGCTGCTTATGACCCGCTTTAAGAAAGAAAAAAGAAAAAAGCATCCCCTCCCTGACATCGTCTGCATTAGTTTGAAATGCTTATTCTCTTTATCATGTTGATTACCTATTCAACCACATAATTACCCTGTATATATGCATATAAAACATATTTCGACTAGTACTTACTTTTTAAATTAGCTTTTAAGTACTTCAAATTGTTTGTAATGATCTAATGCTTTAAACACATTTGTTTCAAGAAAATCCCATACATATAACAAGTTTCACCTTTTCAACTGACAAGTATCTATATGGGCTTTAATCTATTTATATAGCTTCTTTCTTCATGTCTTCTTGATGTGTTGAGAACAAGGCATTCACAGTTATTCTTTAATTGGGTTGATTAGCAGCGGCAGGCTTGGCCCAATGATCGTTCTTCATCTCCCTCATTTTCTCCCACAGCCACAAGTGAACATAAGCAAACTGGGATCAAATGTGAAGCTAATCATGTGGCAATACCCAGTGATGGAACTGACGTTTGGGAAATTGATCTTAAACACTTGAAGTTTGAAAGCAAAGTTGCTTCAGGGTCATATGGCGATCTGTAAGTTAATTGCTTTTGTAGCATGTTCTGTACAAAAGCTGATTGAACTTTGAGCCTTGGGGTGACACTCGTTTGGTTAATTCAGGTATAGAGGTACATACTGCAGTCAGGAAGTTGCTATTAAAATCCTCAAGCCTGAGCGCATAAACACCGATATGGAGAAAGAGTTTGCGCAGGAGGTTTTTATTATGAGGTTTGCATTTTACTTCCATTTATCGTTTTGTTATACAATGTGTATGAAAGTTAAATTTCATAAATGGAGACATGTCTCATAGATTTTACAGTTAATATATCTACAAAATACTCTTTGCAGGAAAGTTCGACACAAAAATGTGGTACAATTTATAGGTGCATGCACCAAACCGCCAAGTTTGTGTATTGTGACAGGTATATTTGATTGAGTTCCTAATTTTATGTGGTAACTTAAAAATTAAATGAGAGTTGAAATCATTGTTTTGTTTTCTTGTTGCTTTATAAACCTGTTGAGTCTCGTTGCCTTATTTTCCCATTCCTCATTGTTTTTCTTTTTTATTTTCCACTGCAGAATTTATGTCTGGTGGAAGTGTCTACGACTACCTACATAAACAGAAGGGTGTATTCAAGCTTCCATCCCTACTGAAAGTAGCAATAGATGTTTCCAAAGGGA